TATATAGGAATCATGAATCATTGTAATAGACATCAATATATCAATCAATAATAATACATACAATTTATTCTCTCTCTTTCTCTATACATTATTTCTTACAACAACTGTTCCCACTTCACTGGGCTAAGGCTCGAACTTATGAATATCGGCCTTGGAGCATCTTGTCCATCACTCAGATCTATTTCAATAAGTTGTTTGGGCTGAGGCGTCGGTCCATCTTGCATGCATTCTAGAGCCACTTCAGGCTTTATTACTATGTCATTGTTAGGAGGATTTTCTTTTGACTCGGAGTCAGTGGCTAAAGAAACCGACTCCCCGTACCTTCATAAATAATACACTATCTTGCCCCCTTCTCGGACTTTCATCACCTTCCGAGGAATCGGCGGACTTTCTGGTTGAGACATCGTCCATTTACTTGATTCTGCCCTTGGCTCTTTGTCATCTTTGATATCCTCCCAACGAGGAATTTTGACCCCCCGAGGCTTAGAGGTAGTGGGAATTTCTTCGACAGCCAGTTCGGTGAAGTAGATAGCATCAGAATAATGAGCTTCATGGATCTCGAAAGGCTTTTTTGTAGCTTGAATTGTCACCGTCTTCTTTCCCCATTTAGCCTTAACACACTGATGATGACTCGATGGTACAACCTCATATCTATGCATCCAGGTCCTCCCTAAAATGCTGTGATAATTTGCCTCGGAATCGATAATATGGAACTTGGTGGCCGAATGAATCTCTCCGACGGCTAAATCAACTGTTACGCATCCTATAATAACTCTCATTTCTCCACCGAAGCTAGTGATGACTATCGGCTGCTTCACAATGCGCTCTTTAGAGATTCTAGCCTTCTCTACAGTAGCGGGGGTCATAATGTTGATAGAGGTTCCACTGTCTAGAAAGACCCTTTTGAACGCAATCCCGTTAATAAAAGCAGTCACATAAAGCGGGCGGTTGTGAGAAAATGGACACTTCCGATCAGTCTCGGAGAAAGTAATGGCACTAGATTGCTCTTTTGCCTTCCTCAGAATAGATCGCTTGGTCGACATGCATTCCTCATGGTGTGCCTCAGCTATATTGACGATAGACTTGGTGATTTCTATTCTTGCCTCCCCGAAAAGTCCAAGCTGGTCGAAGAATTGCTTGAACTTTACATAGTTGTGCAAGGTTTTGGCATAGTGATCCGGATCTTTTTCCAATCTTGGAGGCTCGTAGTTAACCATCTCCTCGGTCTCTTCAAAATAAGATGCCACATAAACATGGTGTCCTCCTCTTCCGTAGTACTCTTCTCCTCCTTCTGGATCAAAGGGATCTTCGACATGAGTCATAAAGGTTCTGCCCTCTGGATCGAGAGCACTTCCATAGTAAACTTGCTCACCCTCGGGCTCGAGGATGTCGTCCAGATAACAATCATCGTCATCGAGATTGGCGATAGCCTCTATCATCGGGCCTTCATAAGCTATCATAGCAACATTCTTGCCCTTGTCTCGGTGCTGAGGATATGGTTGTTCTCGGATGTCTTGAGTCCCTTACTTTTTGAACCTTAATTCGTCTACCTTGACTTTATCTCTGAAGATTTTCCAGAGAGTCCAACACTTCTCTGTTAGATGTTTCAATGTGCGATGATAGACGCAAAATTTAAGGCTCTCGCGATCTTTCTTTGATGGCATTTCTTCGACATAAGGCAATTTTAGCTCCCCGTTGGCCACCCATTCCTTAACTAGAGCTTTTACCTCCTCGATTCCACATGGATAAGAAAGATTTCTCTTTTCACCATTATATTGCTTCCTCTTCTGGCCTCTATGACCCCCTCCTTGTGACTTTCGGGTATCTGGGGCAGTGACAGCAGTAATAATAGGTCCACAAGATGATTTGAAACTAGTCTTGTAACCGGCCTTAAATCCGGACTCCTGAGCCTGAGGAGTGCTAATGTTCCGAGTTGCTTCTATTAGTGCTGAGAAGGTGGGTAGCATGTGATTAACTAGAAACATTTTATACCTGCTCAATGCCCCCTCTAGACATATTTGAACTAGATAACTCTCTTCTACTGCTTCATGGCAATCCATAGCCTTGTCTTGAAACCTTTTGACGTAGTCAAAGATGTCTTCACTTTCTTGCTGCTTTTCTTTACACAATGTAAGTGTGGTCACCTTCTCCGCCACTTGAAAGAACTTGGAATGGAATTTATTAACCATTTCCTCCCAACTTCGGACAGAGTTTGGGGCCAAATTAACATACCAACTATATGCTCGGTTAGTAAGGGACTTAAAGAATTCTCTCAGCCGGAGGACGTGGTTTGAACCATGAATACCCAGAGTCTCGATGAATCACACAACATGTTCTCGAGCATTTCTTTGTTTGCCATCGAACTTGATGAACTTCAGCACTGTATACCCCTTAAGGTACGGATAACTCAGCATCTCAATGGGGTAAGGCGGCTTGACATCCGGATCAGGTAAAGAGGGTAAAGTCATTTTGCCCTGTTCGAGATCGAACATGGCTTGCACATCGGCGAGAGTGAGAAACTGTTGAGGAAGAAAGTTTGATGGTGGTAATCCTGGAACTTGCCTTATGGACCCGAAGACTGAGCTAGGGGCGACTTGGCCATTCTTGTGCTGCGAATTCATCATTGGTGAGGACATTTGACGATACTGGCCATCAGCGCCTATGGACAAGCCAGTTGGTGATGGGACATTGAATTGAGGCCCATAAAGTCCACCGCACAACGCTGCTATACCGGGTTGTGCTTGCAAATTTGTTGTCGGCACCAAAGGAGGCCCGCTTGGTGCTTGAGTAACATTTACTGGTGGCGTAACAAGATTAGGTATGGACAGAGCTCCCTTTTGCGCCATCATGCTCTTTATATTTGCCTGGACACCAACAGTCGCTGGAGCACCATTCATTACACCAGAACCTCCCCTAGTCACCATTGGATCTTGGCTTGGCACGCCATGGAGCCCGGGCATGGGCAAACTGCTGCCGCCTACTGCGGTTTGAGCATGTGTTACTGTGGTCGTGTTGCCATGAGTCATAGGCTGACTGGGGCCTACTTCTCCTTGGATTTGATTTTGCACTCCGGCGGGAATAACTCCACCACCAGTTTGATTTTCGTTTGGCGCTGGTGCAAAATTAGAACTCATTACCAACATGGTGTGAGTGAGATTCTGAAGAGTAGTAAGAATCTCCTGCTGAGTATTTTGAAGTCCTTGAATGGCTTCGAGCAAAAGTGGTTGATCTGGAGCCATGGTCCTATCATCACCACCATTAGAGGATCCTTGTTGGTGAACTTTATCTTCTCTCGCCATCTTTGTTGCAGTTGTGTGGGTTCCAGATCTCGTTGAGACCATTAACCAATCCGTCTCCCCAGTGAAGTCGCCAAATATATGAGAGGGTTCAAGAAAATTGTTAGAAAATTCGAAGATCTTCGAAGATCCTTGAAGGAAAATTCGAATTCTCTAGAAGATGATGAGAGACTTAGATTCTTCAATAGTCTCAACTAAGAACACAAAAGCAAAGAGTTGATGTAGATAAGAGATTGGGTGAAGAAGAAGGCAAAGTAGCTAGAAAGAGAATAATGGCAAGGCTCTCCCATGGATCTCCCACTTTTACTCTCAAGGTTGATAATGGATAAGGGAAATTAGTTTTTTTCCAAGAGTTATCTCTCCAAAATCCATCCCTTGTAAAACTATGGGTAGGTGCTATTTATAGGCACCTCATGATGTAGGATGGAGCCCATGTGCAAGGCACGTGGGGAATATTCTCTCTAACCACCTTATCCGAGGAGGTGACCTCTCCGAGGATGAGGAAAACTCTCGAAGAGGAGATCAACCTCTCGGCGAACCCTTCTTCTTAGCCACACCTAACCAATGACCCCCAATCATTCCAAAGGGTCGAGGTAGTCCTAGAGGACCCATCGCCGCTAAATATTGTCGAGTCTCATGGACGGGGGTCGTGCCACTTCGACCCGGGTATAGGCTAGTTTAATCGAGGAGTGAATTTATCTCCACTCACCGTCCTCGGAATCGGGTCCTTTGTTTGAACTCCATTACGCCCATGGTTCTGATGCGTAGGTCTCGAAAAGCTCCGAGCCTGCAAGTGTTCTGGGACTCATTAATGGAGTGGTTCCTAGATTGCGTCTAAATCCGTTCGAAGCGAAGTGCTTCGGATCTCTAGGTTCGTGGATCCGAACCCTTTCGAGACTTAGAGCGATTCGACCCGTTTGATGGTAATTAATCTGGGTCCACCAATCTTGGACTTGTGATAAATTCGGACCCACCAATCTTGGACTATTGGGCCTAATTAGTTTAGCGGACTCAAATTAGCTCCTCTTACAAACATTAATAGCTAATAAAACATAGTAAATGTTTTGCATTGGAAAAAAAGGTTTAGCTTGTCTTATGCTTTGATTATTTGATTTATTTATCTTATGAGTTGTTATTGTTGTGTGAATCATTCATGAATAAAATTAAGAGTAAATTATAAATACATTTATGAAATTTACTTAAACTATGAATTGTCTTATGTGATTTTACTTGTGACAGAATTTTTTATTTAATAAAATTAATAGAAAAAATAAAATGTTTAACTAATTTTTGTATATGGATGTAAATTAAGAGTCACATCCAAAATAAACTTCATTCACACACTTCTTTCAAAAAATTTATTTTTATTTTTTAAATTAAAGTATTTTCCCCCCTAAACATATAACTATTACTGCTAAAAATAGATGGGTAATTAGGATCGCAATGTAACGACATATAGATGAATGTTAAGCAATTTATTTACTTATTCATATTTGATATTATAAAATGAAATTTAATGAATTATGAACAGATTGACAATAAAATACTCACTTATATTTTAAAGATGAAGGAGCAAATGATATCATCCAAAAGAAGAGGAAGAACAAGAAGAATGAGAGCTGAGATTGATTTCATGCAAAAAATTCATAAATTTTGACAAGAAAATATCAAGGTAAAGGGTATTTTTAGGTATAACGAAGAAAATAAATAAAAAGGCTGATTTCATATGAATGTTTTTCTATTTTTTTCAATAAATATTACAGGCCATGGCCAAATGCCCCTATGTTGAGTGACATTCCAATTTCAAGGCATTTGGGTACACATAAGATTCATGTTTGAAACTGTGTCCTATGCAAAGCAAATAACATAATAATGTACAAGTTACCTACAGAACATGTGGCTGCACCAAGTTAAAAAAAAATGTTGATGGTAAAATCATAGGCCAGCAAATCTCAAAACTTCAGCCCTTCAGCCTTGATGTCATCCTCAGGTGGACCTCTTCCCTCGTGCATGCTGAATAAATCTAACAGTTAATGTTGTTTCCCAAATAATGAAATATGGTGCATATAATGGCTGCACGAACAAAACAAAACGCTTTTGTTGGAAGTTATAATTTTGTTACCGATTCAAATGGGGGGGCAAGAACTGGGTTGTGCCCCAGATTTGATAGAAGCAGACTTTCTGGTCTCTCTGTTCGTAGGATGAATGCTTCCAGCGCATTGTCCTTTACATCAGATGCTTGTGTTTCCAAGGGAATTGATACTGTAGCTTTGGTTCCCATTTCAAAATCTTTCAGCACATCAATGCATGTTAGAACAGGAACATAATGACTAATTCTTTCCATATGTTAAATTGTTATTACTCCCTCCGTCCCAAAATAATAGTCCATTCTGAAGAAGCTAACTTTTTTTTATAGTACAATTATTGCACTATAAAAAAATTGATTTTTCAAAATTACCTTTTGATAGTACATTTTTTTGGAAAATATCAATTGTCATAATTATACTTTTTGTGTTAATGAATTTAAAAGAAGGGCAAAATAGAAAATTCATCTTATTTTAGTCCTTGATTTTTGAAAATGGACTAATATTTTGAGACAATGAAAATAGAATAAGGGACTAATATTTTGGGGCATAAGGAGTAATAGTTTTTCTTTAGCCAATAAACACATATGATATAGCCATGAGCAACATGCTATAAAAGGATCCATATTGGTCCCATGCCAACAATTGGATCCTGTAAGCATACTGTTAATGTAAGTGTCACCACTAACAAATATATGTAGTTTTCTTAAAAAAATATAAATAAATACAGAGATGCAAGCTTAACAACCCACCTAAGGAATTCATCTGAGAATGATCATCCACATTTAGATGTTGACAGGGCAACAACATGTCCTCCCTGCAGATTTCCTTCACCTAGCATAAATATAAAGTGATTGAGATCATTCCTTCAATCAAGATCAGATTATACATGGGTCAGGTTAAACTTATGAGAAAAACAAAGTGCACAAAGGATTTTCACAGAATGGGACATAGATGTGAGACAAAGTACCAACCCCACATGTGGGTCCAATTCCTTTGTCTCTGTATTCTATTTTGTAAAATTCTCATGTGTTCTCAGCACAGCTGTAAACTTACTTTGGATGATGTGTGGGGTTGAAAGGGTCTAAGGTGACCTTGGATTGATGAATCCATGCCAAATGAAGTTCCAGAATTGATTATACTTAAGTTGGCTGCTGATAGCTCACTTGGGTTAGTGCTTTGATTGGGTATATTGAAGAGGGTATTTGTCGGAGTTTCTTGGTTCACAGGAAGCATGCCTGTCATGTCCATATTTAGGGTTCCGTTTCCTTCATAAAAGCTCATTTTTATATCTGACAGTTGGGCTGGCTGCAAGACTCCAGGTAGGCACATAGGATATAAACTCAGTCCATTTCTCATTGTCAACATCTGAAATGTGAATGGCAGTGTAAGAAGTTAAATTAATCTGAACAATGGAAATAATGATAGCAACTAGAAGGATAATAAGCAATCAGAAATTTTAATTAAATCTTTTAAGATGAAAGACAAGAATGAAAAACTCAAAACACAATAAGCCACAGTGACAGCTGCAGTGTAAAATAAGCCTAGAAAAAGGCTTAGGAGAGGAAAAACAGAAATCAGCATCCAAAAGGATTATTTCCCTAAGAAGAATGCAGGAAAATAAATTCAGACTAATCTTGAAGAAAAACATTAAGAAACCTTTGAATTGCAACTCTTCCATTAGAAATTGGATTTTCACACAAGCAACATATAGTTGTATCTTTGTTAATGGACAATATCTTCACTTCCTTTCTACGACAACCATGGGCAAAGAGTTTCCTGATGCCATGATCTTACGATCAGCCTGGAGATTTTGATTCGTCGTAGAGACCATGTGGACACTAAAAGGGATCTAATTAAACTTAGTGCCTATTCCCATGAAAAGACCACGACGATGCTTCCCAAGGACATAAGATACTTGTATGGGACTTCAATTCCATTTTGCTAACTACAACTAATAGAAGAAGTCATGCTGTCAATAATTTATCAAAATATGTCCTATGGTTACCAATAGTCACCAAGTGATGAATTGCCCAAGCAATTGGTACTTCCAACTTCCATTCATTTAAGTGTGAGATACTTGTATAGAACATTAGGAAAAAGAAGTATAGGCCATGATATTAAACTGTGATCTCCATATGGAAGCAAAAGAAAACCCAGAAAGTCAAGTCATTCACAACTAGGACCAATTGATCTGAAAATCCCAAGTCAACCTGGGCACCATCTCCTCAGCAGCATAGCTGTGTTAGTTCAAGTCAAGCCATGAGCCATGCCTAAAGACATCCTCTGTTACACGAAGTATCAATAAGAGAACTAGGGGCCTCACTTTAAGCACACAAGTGAGAAGGGTGACAGAAGAGTAACTTGTCCAGCTTAGGCACTACGGGTATGCATCAATTCTCAATTCAAGAGAGCAACACAACAGATTCTGATGAAGAAAGTCACTCCACTCAGCTATGCAATTTAAACATGAGTCATGTGATGGGAGGAAAACAAGTATGGTGGCCACTTGGTTTGTCAGCTAACTCATTCCCTAAAGGGATATGATGACCAGTCGGATATGAAGAGGCTGTAGTATGAAAATTTGACTAAATGTTTATCACAGAGGATCACATAACCTTCAAGTTCAGTCATGGTCCAACTATGTTGCCAAATGCTACCTTCTAATAGACAGGGGGTCTGGTCACAATAACTTTGTCATGCTTGGCTTAATCACACTATCACACCCAAGCCTATATATTAACGGATTCAAGTAAACTTATTGGGTTCTTCTGGTATGCATCTAGGTGTCTAATTCCATGAAACTCCAAAGATTTTGTGAATTATAACGAGTTGGGTACCAAAAACCATACCATGTCATATCATGTGAACATTGCCTCCAAAATCTATGACAAGTTACAACCTCAGGGCCTGTTTGTTTGTGGTATTAAAAGAGGGGATGGAAAGTGAGGGAACATGTGGTTCCCACTAGATTTTTAATTGGGTGTTTGATTGATGATGATAAGAATGGGGAGGACTAAACGTTGGGGAACAGATGTCTTTATCCTCGGTAATCTCCTTATCTGAATATACAACTATACACATTTGCAACTAGAATTTGGCACCAAAAGAACAAGTTCTTCACAAGATTCAACAAACAAACAAAAAAAAAAAATAGAATTATACCCCCTTTATCAGAAACAAAATAGCAAATGGATAGATTTAGCATTCCTTTGATAAAAATTTAGCAATGAAGCACACTTCATCTTTGGAAGCCAAACTCCAAGTATCAGCATCTAATGCATTCTACATCTACATCTGGGTGGGATATAGATTATTCAATTGTTATACAACTAAAAGGTGTGCCTTTTTTTTCTCTAAACCAGTAAGAACAACCTATGCCTCACTATCACAAACCATCCACCAAAATTCCTGAAGAAAACCAGCATACCTGTACTTGGAGCTGAAGCTGCTTGAGGTACTCAATAGCTTCATCGAGCATGGACGCCTTATCAGTCTACAATCACAAACAAAATCTCAAACAAAGCACTAAATCACAAAAATTGATTTGTTAACAGAACTAATCAAGCTTAATAAACACCAAAATCATGAAAAACCTTGTTGGAATTCGGAATTAGATTCTGCAATGCTTTCATTTTCTCATTAATTCTTCTCCTCCTCCTCTGTCCACCCAAAAAGATACAAAAACCCACATAATTAAACCCCCAAAAAGAGAGGTTTTTTTAAACAAATTCATGACATTATCATATAGAACCAACCTTTTCAGACAAATTATGAACCTCTGCTGCTCTACTTCTCTTGGAAGAATTACGCGGCGTAATAGCCTTTGCTAGACCCTCTTCAACCAGAGCTTCAAAACCCTCCTACAATCAAACACAACCACATTCAGTATCCAATATTTAGGAGAAACTTAATTCAAAGCAAAATTCAAAAAATTGTGAAAACATTCACGCAAGTACACCTCGCTTTCGCAATCGTACTCGTCAGGGTCATTCAACCCGGAAGATGATTCGGCGGCGGAGATAGGGTGGGTTGTCGGGCGTTCAAACCCAGAAAGCAGAGACGTTGGGATCGGACGGTGAGGGGTGGTCTGCATTGGAGAAGATGATGACGATGATGATGAGCGGAGGAGCATTTGGTGAAGAAACAGAGAGATATCGTCGGGTTCAGAAGGAAAGGAAGATGAAGAACAGGTGGTCTTATAGTTATACATATCCGCCATTGTTGTGTATATGTAAATAGAATAGAATACAGAGAGATCAGAGTTTGAGAGTGAAGAGAAACCAGAAAAACTAGTTATTGGGTTCGGCTTTGTTTAGTCTAACAGCAAATTGTAAAACCCATTTCAACACACACACACTCACTCTCTCTCTCTCTCTGAATTCAGTGTGGTTTTCTGGGTTTGTCTCACTGTTGTTTGTTTCTCTTTCTGGTTTTCTCTCTCTCTCTCTCTCTCTCCAATATTGAAGAGCAGTTTTAGCTGAGAGAGAACAGAGCAGTGTATGGAATTGCGGGCGGGATTAAAAACAAATGATGGTTTGGGAATGCCAAGCGCAGCTGAACAGAGATATGAGTGATTGGGAAAAAGTTCACTGTGATCACAATTTTTTGATTTAAAAAAATAAATAACTTTAACATTTATTGAGTTCTCACACCTCATAATTTTTTTTTACTTCTCTCATAATTATTACAGTACTTTTTTTAATTTCTTTTATACACTATGATTAGTGATGAGATTATTAAATTATTTTTATAAAAAATCTAAAAAAATAATTTATTTATTAAAAAAATATCCAAAACAAATATAAATATATATATATATATATATATATCTATTATATAAGAAAAAAAACAACACACACACACACTCACTCTCTCTCTCTCTCTCAATTCAGTGTGGTTTTCTGGGTTTGTCTCACTGTTGTTTGTTTCTCTTTCTGGTTTTCTCTCTCTCTCTCTCTCCAATATTGAAGAGCAGTTTTAGCTGAGAGAGAACAGAGCAGTGTATGGAATTGCGGGCGGGATTAAAAACAACAAAAATGATTGGTGGCCCTAAAAAATTTGCCCCTAATGCCCTAATTTCTAATTTTGGAAACTGCTTTTTTTTTTCTTTCTTTTTTCCTTTTTTTTTTTTTTTTTTTTACCTTAAACGGAATTTCGGGGCATTCGAGCCCCGAAAACGTCGGGCCCTCAATCACTGCGCTAAAAACAAATGAAACAAATGATGGTTTGGGAATGCCAAGCGCAGCTGAACAGAGATATGAGTGATTGGGAAAAAGTTCACTGTGATCACAATTTTTTGATTTAAAAAAATAAATAACTTTAACATTTATTGAGTTCTCACACCTCATAATTTTTTTTTACTTCTCTCATAATTATTACAGTACTTTTTTTAATTTCTTTTATACACTATGATTAGTGATGAGATTATTAAATTATTTTTATAAAAAATCTAAAAAAATAATTTATTTATTAAAAAAATATCCAAAATATATATATATATATTATAAGAAAAAAAATTTTCTAATGAGAAACCTTCTAAAAGCTCTAAACTCTTATTCTAAAATTATTAATTTTTTAATTTATAAAATAGATTAAAAAAACTTATTGACTGATTTATTTATTTAATTATTTTAGAAATAATAATGGGAAGATAACAAGAATATTTCATGATCTCTTCATCATAATCTCTCTCACTAATTTTCAAAAAAAATGTATTAAAACTTGCATTCTTTTCTCTCCTCAAAAAAATTAGATAAAATTAATAAATTTAATTTTTATTTATCCAGTTAAAATATTTCTTTTGCCTCACAATATCCAATTTTAAATTTTAAAAATATATAAAGTTTATCAAAACAAATCTAATTTGAAAATATCTCTCACCACCATACTTTAAATCAATAAAACTCATATATTTATCACATATTTAACTCGCATCATAACTTACTTAAATAATAATAATTAAAAACAAATAAAAACCACAAATAAATTAAATTTAAATTTAAAAAACTTATTGGCTGATTTATTTATTTAATTATTTTAGAAATAATAATGGGAAGATAACAAAAATATTTCATAATCTCTTAATCATAATCCCTCTCACCAATTTTCAAAAAAAAAAAAAAAATTTAAATTAAAACTTGCATTCCATTTCTCTCCTCCAAAAAATAGATAAAATTAATAAATTTGATTTTTATTTATTCAGTTAAAACATTTCTTTTGCCTCTCAATATCTAATTTTAAATTTTATAAATCTATAAAGTTTATCTAAACAAATCTAAGTTGAAAATATCTCCCACCATCATACCTTAAATCAATAAAACTCACAAATCTATTACATATTTAACTCGCATCATAACTTACTTAAATAATAATTAAAAACAAATAGAAATCACAAATAAATTAAATTTAAAAAAAATAGAAACCACACAAAAATAAAGAAGATAAGAATTTAGATATAGATCTCAAAAAGATGTAACAATATCTAAATTTGAATTATGATTTAATAATATAATTATCTATTTTTTTGATATATATCTATCAAAATTTTAAATCACTTAATGGGAAAAATTAATCAAATTTTTAAAATTATTGATTTTTCAATTTATAAAATAGATTTAAAAAAAAACTATTGACTGATTTATTTATTTAATTATTTTAGAAATAATAATTATCCTTTAATTTATGAATTTCAAATTGAAAGATAAAAAAAAAATATTTCATAATCTCTCCATCCTAATCTCTCTCACCGATTTCTAAAAAAATATATTAAAACTTGTCTGTCTTCTCTCTTTCCTAAAAAATCAGATAATATTTTTTATGAAAGTTGTGAATATTTATCTATATCTTATATATTATATTATAACATAACAAAAAAAAACTAAAAATCAGATATACTAACAGATAAAAATAATAAATTTGATTTTTATTTATTCAGTTAAAATCTTTCTTTTACATCTCAATATCCAATTTTAAATTTTAAAAAACTTTATAGTTTATCTAAACAAATCTAATTCGAAAATATCGCCTACCATCATACTTTAAATCAATAAAAACCACATGTGTATCACATATCTAACTCACATCATAACTGACCTAAATAATAATAATTAAAAACAAATAGAAACAATAAATGAATTAGATTGGAAAAAAATAGAAACCCACAATTCCATCTTAAGTAAATTGAAAAAAAAAAAAATAAATAAATAGAAAGCACACAAAAATAAAAATAAAAAGATAAGAATTTAGATATGGATCTCAAAAAAATATGACAATATCTAAATTTGAATTATGATTTAATAATATAATTATTTATTTTTTTATATATATCTATCAAAATTTTAAATCACTTAATGGAACAATTAATCAATTTTTAAGTCTTATTTAAAAAATAATCTGATTAGTCATATCAGCTCCTAGACTTCGCAGGCACTGGCAGATGAGCTAACGGATTAGGTTAAGTGAGATCTAAATTGTTGGAGGTAACATTTTCTCATTCTATAAATTTATTTGTTTTTTAATTATATATTTTTTTTCCATGTATGATTCTCTTTCTCTGCTATTAGTTTGGCTTTGGTTTTAGTGAGGTTTATGTGTTTGTTTACAGGTTTGCTTGGTGGAGAAGAATTATTAGTGATTATGATTACAATCGAAGTATCTATAGCGATTCCAGTTTTGACGGGATCTTTATTCTGTTCTGAACTCGGGTTCCGTGGTTGTATGTTGTTATCCATATCTTGTTTTCCTTCTTTAACTCTTTGAATTTGAGTTTTGGAGTATGTTGGGCGTGTTCAGAGCAGGTTGGTTGTTAGTTGGTCTAGATTGTTGTTGCCCAGATTTTGGCTTATTTGCTCAAGTGAGGCTTCTTGCGCTCGAGCGAGTCTTGTGAAATTTGCTCTTTCGTTCGAGTGAGAATTGAAAGTCCTCAGGTTTCTTACCCAGATGTAGAATATCTAGGAAGGTGAAATGCTTCCCTCGAGCGAGGCTTCTTGCGTTCGAGCGAGCGTATGAGTCTGTAAAATTTCTGAAGCTTTGCATTTTGTGCTCGAGCGACGCTTCTTGCGCTCGAGCGAGGTCACTTATTGTGTCTAGTCGCTCGAGCGACAACTCTTTTGCTCGAGTGAAGGTCGCGTATATCAATTCGCAGTAGGGTGATTTTACATCACTTTTTGATTTCCATTCTCCTAAAAACCCTAATCCGACACTCTCTCTCTCTCTACAAATACTCCATGATTTAAGGGCCTCTCCACTACTCTCTTTGATAAAGAGTTAGAGCATCTTGTGGGCTTTCTTTTGATCCGAACAAAATCGAGTTTGGACACCTTTGAGGTTCTTCTTCATCTCCTTTGAGCCTCTACACTTGAGGTAGGGATATTCTACACCTTGTTATGATTTTTAACCTATGTATTTGTCATTTTGTATAAATGGTGAGATTTAAAAGAATTTAGGTAAAGTTAGGGTTTAATATCAAAAGTTAAAGAGGGGTTTTCCATGTTGGTCTATAAAAAAATGCCTATGGGGCCTTATGCATGAAGTTCTCTTATGTTAAAATAGTGAAATTTGGCATTGGGGTTAATATTTGGAAGATGGGGAAAATTGTCCTAATTTGTGTTAAATAATTATTTTGTATAAATACTAAAATTAATATGGAAAATATGAAATTGGAGAAGTGTATGAATGAATGGTGTAATTGGATTTGATAAATCATTCACCTTTGAAAATTTGATAAATTATTTGTTTGATGGATTGTATATCTGTTTAGAAATATCTGTTTTGGGCTGTTAGTGGATGATAGCTATGATTGTTGTAGAAACTGCATGAGGATTAGGTAAATTGAAACTAATCATTTGAATTTTGTCATTGAGTACGACGATTTGGTTAAACCATTGAATATGTGATTTGGATAGTCATTGTATATGACAACGCCTTTAAATATATCGTACATGTATCTTTGTTTGGGATGAGATAGGGAATGTACTCCATTGTTTTGAAGGAGATAGAGGATGGACTCCATTTTAAATTAAGTTGGCCGGAGTGTCTAGGGTGAAAGTCCCGAAACCTTATATGTGTATATTTGGATGCCGATTCTCTCGGGCGAGAATCCGTAAAATTGCAAGAAGTTTGAAGTGTTTGAATAATGAATGTTATTGAAATGTGAATGGATAAGTTGTAGTCTCATTTGGGATTGTTTAGATGATAAGGAACCATACTTATGCATTGATTTGAAATGAACGAATGGATGGAAATGGATTGAGATATGGTTATCTATATCTTAGTTAAATCTTATATATTGTGTTAGTTTATCTCTACTGGGTTTTGGCTCACCCTACTTGGGAAACTATTTTCAGGTACTGGTGACATGCCACCTCCAAGGACATAGCTTGAAAGGACTGAGGGCTGAAGGCTCTATTTTGATTTTATTTGTGCTTAAGTGTTCATTCAAGCCGAGGGATTTACATGTATAGAGCTTGGGACTCTTTCTTTTGTTATGACCAAGTGATATCTTGGAAAGATATAAACTGTAGGGCATTTAT